GGAGGCGCGGTGGGGCCATGCAGGCACGGCGGGGCCAGGCAGGTGCGGCGGGGCCAGGGAGGCGCGGTGGGGCCAGGCAGGCGCGGCGGGGCCAGGCAGATGCGGCGGGGCCAGGCAGGCGCGGCGGGGCCAGGCAGGCTTGCCGGGGCCTGGCAGGCACGGCGGGGCCAGGGAGGTGCGGCGGGGGCCAGACAGGCGCGGCGGGGCCAGGCAGGCGCGGCGGGGTCAGGCAGGCGCGGCAGGGCCAGGCAGGCACGGCGGGGCCGGGCAGGCGCGGCGAGGCCAGGCAGGCGCGGCAGGGCCAGGCAGGCGCGTAGGGGCTAGGCAGGCGCGACGGGGCCAGACAGGCACGGCGGGGCCATGCAGTTGCGGCGGGGCCAGGGAGGCGCAACGGAGCCAGGCAGGCGCGGCGGGGGGCAGACAGGCGCGGCGGGGCCAGGCAGGCGCGGCAGGGCCAGGCAGGCGCGGAGGGGCCAGGCAGGCGCGACGGGGCTGAGCGGGCGTGACGGGGCTGAGCGGGCGCGACGGGGCCAGGCAGGGCGCGACGGGGGCCAGGAGGGGCGCGACAGGGCCAGGAGGCGTGACGGGGCCCAGGAGGGGCGCTATGGGGCGCGATGGGGCCCAGAAGGGGCGCTACGGGGCTAGGAGGCGCGACGCGGCTAGGAGGCATAACGGGGCCCAGGAGGGGCACGACGGGGCTAGGAGGCGTGACGGTGCCCAGGAGGGGGCGCGACGGGGCCCAGAAGGGGCGCGACGGGGCCCAGGAGGGGCGCGACTGGGCTAGGGGGGCGCTACGGGGCCCAGGAGGGGCGCGACGGGGCTAGGGGGCGCGACTGGGCCCAGGAGGGGCGCGTCGGGGCCCAGAAGGGGCGCGACGGGGCCCAGGAGGGGCGCGACTGGGCTAGGGGGCGCGACGGGGCCCAGGAGGGGCGCGACAGGGCTAGGGGGCGCGACGGGGCCCAGGAGGGGCGTGACGGGGTTAGGAGGCGCGACAGGGCTAGGAGGCGCGACGGGGCCTAGCTAGGGTACGGGCGGAAGCGGTAGGTGGGGGATTCTAACCTACGCGTGATACCATGTTTAAGTGAGAACTGAATGATGACTAGAAGTGGAACCCTAGAACAAATACTAGTTGGTTGTACTCACTAGAAGCATACCTCAGTCTAACCTATAATTTCTACATAGCTAATATGTATAAGTTGACAGAATATGCCCCCAGATTTCATGCGATTTTCCCTGATTTAGGGTTTCTTCAGGGATTTTTCCTGTACCAGCCCTGTCTTGCTAGTATTTTGTGCAACCTTCCTTGATTTCTCAGCTCTTTTTTTTAGGGAACTCTGTCTGGTCAGCAGTGTAACCGCAATGGACCCTGACGAGTCCGCCTAATATCGTCAGCCCTAATTCCAGTAATAGCGGAATCTATCCCCCCCCCCTCCCCCCCGGAATTTTCGTGCCAGCCCTATAACACCCCCGCCAATCACAGCAGATTGACAGTTAGTCGTACACAATCCACGTGAAATGGCAGATTCCAGCCACACTGCATCCAGCACATTCAGCGCAGCAGTACATGATTGGTCCTTCCATGCAAGTCTAGCGCTAGCGCAGAGCAGGACCTCGCCCAGTGATTGGGAATTAGCCAAATTCAGCTTCGACGACCAATAGACCAACGTCGTTCAGCAGCTGCAGATAACCTCGCGCGACAGAACGTGGCGGTTACCTGGCGGCGCGGACAAGGGAACCAGCGCATCGCGTTCATGCACGCAACCATCCCATACTGGCTGGCGTTTTCGTCCCACGGCAAGGCTCCTTCTGCTAGCTCCATTTCTTGCTCCCACTTGCTTTTGCCCTGAACATTACTTCTTGTCATTCTTTGTCTGCAAGTCATTGCAGCACACTGCTCGACTCGCAGACGCCATGGTCGAGCCAGGAGACCCCGACTAGCCTGACAGTAATTAGCAGATGGACTCTCACACGGGTCTAGACTTGTTACTCTCCACCCTCTGAAGCCTGACGCGTATCCCGCACAAGGTTAGCAGCGTTGTGCATAGTCCCGCTTGTCAGCCAGCTGGCGGTTCTGTAGGTGACGTTGCGGCTGGGTCTAACAGCAACCCCACTGCTGGCCCCTCCACGGCTGAACCCGAGATCCCCGGTACTACGGCTGTGAATCCGGCTAAGCGTTCCCGTCATTACAGACAGGCCACTCTTCCATCTTCTCGCCCAAAGACGACGAGAAAAGAGGCATCTGAGGCGCCAGATTCCGGTGAGGAGGATGATGAAGAAGATGAGCCTCCCTCTGCGACCAAAACCATGCGTTCAGCAGACGAGCAGTATGCAGATACGCAGCGCCGCTACAACACGAAGTGGCAAGACGAGTTTCCATGGCTCCTTGAAAAATCACCTGATGGACTTCCCACCTTCAAGTGTTCCGTGTGCATCGAGCATGCAGGTCTGAGTGGCAAAACCGGGCGTCGTGGCAGCAGGATCAAGGATGCACCAAAGCAAGCATTCACTCGCCATGCTGGGACGGCAAAGCATCGGTTGGCGTTCAGAAAGCAGATGACGCTGCTGCAGCAGGCAACGACACAGACTTTGATCGACCAAGTTGCTGGCGCGTCGGACGTGGAGGCGACCCGGGTCACAGCTCTTCTCGACGTTCTCTACCACTGCTGCAAGACGAACGAGTAGATGGAGTCGTGGGTCAGGTTCTCACGCTACCTAGCTGAGCGGAAGGTAAAGAACTTCACCGACGAATGCTACAGGTGCTACATGAACAGGTACGGTCCCTATCCTCCCGTATCACTGATTGTGCACCTAATCCCCTTAACACACGGTGTGGTAATTTTGCCCGGGTGTCTTTCCTTGAATGTCTTTCCTTGAATGTAATTTTTCACACGCTACCCTGAATGTCTTTCCTTTCTGTCTTTTGCATCCTGGTTGGCAGTTACGGCTTTGGGGAGTTCACCTTGTCAGCCGGGTTGCAGACCACGCAATTGGAGCACTTGCTTCGAAGCCCATTCATCAGAATCAGTCTGGATGAGAGCACGGATCGCTGCAGGGGGAAAAATCAGATAGTCTTCGTCACATTCATTCGCGAGAATCATGTCGTCTGCGAGTATCTCACCCTACTCACGGTGGACAAGGCGGACGATGCGTCCCTGCTCGCTCTTTTGCTCTCACACCTGGGGGCGATTGGCGTAGACATGCGGCGGGTCTCCGGCATCAGCACCGACGGCGTGGCTGATGATGGGAGCCAAGGGGGGTTTGGTGACGTGCCTGCGACACCAGATTCCTCACTTGGTGTCTTGTCACTGCATAGCACACATGTAAGTGATGTTTCATTTAATAATTGTGGCATTTACGCAAACGGAACGTTGTACATAGTAACACCCTTATGTATCATACATCATTTGTGTATGCGCAGAGAGGCACTGGTTGTGAAGGCAGCTGCAGAAGACGTGCCCAGGTTCAAGATCATCGACGATGTGATTCGTGAACTGGCCGAGTTCCTTGGTCGGTCAGGGCTGTGGCACCATCGGTTTCTGGAGCTCTAGGACGTCTTTCTGGCAACTTCACTTGAGATGCAGGGTATTTTTCACGTTCGCTGGCTATCTCGGGGTGATGCTATCATTCGTTGCAATCATTGTCATGCTCTCTGAGTTTCTTGACAAGCAGCTGCACAACATTGTCACCTCTTACCGTTTCTGGATCATGCTGATGTTTCTTGCTGATGTTCTCGAGTTGCTCAACACTCTCAACAAGTATTTTCAGGCACATGAGGTATGATAAGTTGCCTTAAAAAAAAAAATCAAAAAAAAATCCATACTTAGTACAGTACCACTTGCCTTACTCTGTATATGTCCCCCCCACTCGCAGCTGGACTTTGGCTCCGTCAATTCAGCAATCAGCCGCATGAAGTCCCTCCTCCTAAGCCGCTACGTCGACTGCGGCGACGACTTCACCGGAGGGCCGAAAGATCGCCTCACGGGATTCCTCACCCGTCACGGCCCTGGCGGTACGCGCAGCGTTACAGTTGAAGGCTTGAAGTCCGACTGCAGCTCAACACGCTTCACCTTCATCCTGCATGATAGAGGGCATCTGGACTATCATGGGGGGTGGAAGCATGATGACTATGTGGTGGAGTGCATGGCGTTGGCTGAGGGGCTGGTTAACAACCTGCACCAGCGGCTGGGAGATGTGGAGAAGCTGATCGGCTCCAGAATGTTCGCTGCGGATGAGTGGCCCGTGGGTTGGCTACGGGCTCCCCGGAACGCACAGTGCCTTGCCTAGTTCGAGTCCCTAGTCGACCTCTACCATGCTGGAGAGTCTGTCGAAATCCTGCCAGGCATCGACAAGTTTGCAGCTGCCAAGGAAATCCCGCACTTCACCCTGGTTCTTGCTGCCCTTCCGAAGGGTGACAAGGGCTTCTTCACTGGTCTGACCGCCATGCTCAAGACACCGGACTGGCAGCATAGTTACCCCAACTTGGTGAAGCTCTGGTGCGCCCTTGCCGTCCTGCCCCTTAGTACTGTAGAGTGCGAGCGCGGGTTCTCCCGCCATAACAAGATCAAGAGTACCTTGCGTGGCCGCATGAAGGATACACGTCTTAAGGACCTGATGTGCCTTAGCTTGCTAGACTATGAGCCCGATTGGGCAGCAGTTGTAGAAATCTGGAGGGCGCACAAGAAGAGGAAGCCCTACAACAATGCTGTTCAGGTCCGAGACCGTGGTAGCAAGAAAGGGAAGGAGAAAGCGGAGGATGATGCTGGTGTGGTTGCTGTAGAGTGCATGGAAGAGGAGGAGGATGATGAGTATATTTTTTGCCCTGATAATATATTGATATGGTTTTCAGCTCAACTTAAATGTATTACCCTGACTACTCAGCTTACAAACTTGTCACACCCTTGAAAAATCAGTGGAAAAAAAGAACAGGCACTGAAAAAACAGGGTTGTCTGGGGGGGGGACTGAGCAATCAGGGCACCTCTAAACCAATCTGAGGGCCTGAAGGGGAATAAAGGCTTGATTGGGGATTGCACTCAAATCGAGATGTATTACTAGTACGGTATATGGGTACAAGCGAGAGCCAAGAACACATGGCCGAGAGAGGAGTACGTGGAAGGTATGTAACCCCAAAACACTGGGGAATTTCTACTTTTTACTTGCCACCACCATGTGTCCCTTCCCGACCCCCTGTCGAAAGCTCCTTACGGCTAGTCCTACGTGGCAAACCCTTTCCACGTGGCAACGATGGCACTCAGCATGATCTCATGTGCCTCCTCGTCAGTCTGTGCCACATGGCGCGGCATTACGGTGTGGGATGGCATGGCATGGCATGTCATGGGATGGGATGGCATGGCATGGGATGGCATGGCATGGGATGGCATGGCATGGGATGGGATGGGATGGGATGGCATGGCATGGGATGGCATGGCATGGGATGGGATAGGATGGGATGGGATGGTATGGCATGGCATGGCATGGGGATGGCAGTGGCATGCCATGAATATGTATGATACATTAGAGCATCCCACAAGCACATGTATGCACAGGAGCACAAGCACAGGCATGTGAACGAGAGGAAGCACACAGCGGGGAGAGGGACAGAAGGAGAGGGGTGAAAAGAATGCTTCATGTATGCACAATACACATGAAAAGCAAAACAAAGGATAAAAGCTCCAACAGCTCTCCTCACACTCTCAATCCTCCTCCTCCCTCACCACTGACTCACCTCACACTGCATGCGGATGGATTCAAAGCTCGGCAAGCGCCATCCCCACAGCTGCCAGCTGACCCTCACTGCTCTCCCTTCCTGACGTTAGTTTTCCCATCCTCGTGAATTCCCTCCTCACGCACCACTGACTCACCTCACACTGCATGCGGATCAAAGCAAAGCTCGGCAAACTCCATCCCCACAGCTGCCGGCTGATCCTCACCGCGCGCTCCCTCAGCTCCTAACCACTGCTCTCCCTGTCATTGCGTTTCCCATGCTCGCGTCTTCCTTTCTCAACCCCGTCTCACCTCGCACTGCATGCGGATCGATGCGAAGCTGGGCAAACTCCACCCCCACAGCTGCCGGCTGATCCTCACCGCTCGCTCCCTCAGCTCCTAACCACTGCTCTCCCTGTCATTGCGTTTCCCATGCTCGCGTCTTCCTTTCTCAACCCCGTCTCACCTCGCACTGCATGCGGATCGAAGCGAAGCTGGGCAAACTCCACCCCCACAGCTGCCGGCTGATCCTCACCGCGCGCTCCCTCAGCTCCTCGCCCATGCCGCCGACCCCCTGCCGGTGCACATACAGCAGCAGGCGCGCGATGAACCGCACGTTGTCCGTGTGCCGCGGCCACCGGTAGAACACCCGCGCCGCCATTCTTGTTGCTACAGCCATGAGGAGTTCCGCCACTTCTTTTTCTTTTGGGCAGACCACCGCTACAACCTGGTCGATCCATGCGCTACAGCCGATGAGCATGCGGGCCCGGGAGGCGGCGGCAGAGGCTTGGGGGAAAAGCCGAGGAGGGGGGATGGCGGGTTTGTGAGAGGGGGTGCGGGGCGAAGAGGAGGAGGACGGGGAGGAGGCGGAGGCAGGGGAAGAAGGAATAGGAGGCCTTTTGGCGGTTACAGGCTTAGAGGTGGCGTTTTTGCTGGCACTTAGCTGAGAGTTGGTAGAAGAGCTAGTGGGAGGATCCGAAGATAGAGAGGGAGATTGGACAGGGGAGAGGGTGGAGGAGGAGGAGGAGCGAGAGTGGGAGCCGGACTGAGACTGACCCTGGGATTTGGAGGAGGAGGAGGAGGAGGAGCGGCGGTGGCGGGGGAGGTGCTGGCGGGGGTCAGAGGCCGAAGCGAAGGAGATGAGGAGGCCCTCCAGGCCCCAGTCAAAGAGCTCCAGCATCAAGGGGTCCGGCGGAACGGCATCTTGGAGAACGGCCTGTGGTGAGGTTGGGGGGGCGGGAGGGGAGGAGGAGATGGGGGGGAGGATGAAGACAGAGACGAGGAGAGATGGAGATGAGAAGCCCCTCGAAGCCCCAGTCAAAGAGCTCCAGCATCAAGGGGTCTGGCGGCACTACCTCCTGGAGAATAGCCTGTGGGGGTGGGGGGGAATGGGGGAAGGCGAAGAAGGCAGAGATGAGGAGAGGAGAGGATAGGGAGCCCCTTGAGGATGTTGGGAGAGCAGGGGGTGGAGTGAGGGCTGACAGGGGAAGTGAAGCAGGGAGGAGGGAGAAGGGGAAGAGAGGGAGAAGTAAGAACGCACCTTGAAGCTCCCCCGGACTGCTTTCCCCCACATGGGCACAAGCGCACGGTGCTCCCTCCTTTCCTCCCCCAGCAGGCACCCTATCGCCTTCCACTGCGCCCACCCCACCTCCACCTCGGGGTACTCCACCTCCCGCGCCCACCGCGCCACCGCCTCCTCCTTCCTCGCCGCCTGCTCCCGCCTCCTCGCTGCCCGCCTCTCCCTCCGCTCCTCCTCCTCCCTCTCCGCCTCACTCGCCCCGCTGCGCGCCCCCATCCCCCCCACCTTGATCACTTCGTCGCTCTCCCAGGCTTTCACAGGGGCCTCTGGAACCACCACTGACAGCCGGTGCCGTGCCTTAGCGCTCAGCGATCGGCTGCTGTTTGCCCCTCCGCTGACTACGCCTCTGCTGTCTGCCCCTTTGCTTTCTCCTGTGGTGCTCCCCGTTCTGCGCTCTCCCCCTGTGCCTGGCCCCGAGCCTTGACCCCTCTTCCCCACATCCTCCTCCTCCTCGGCCTCTTCTTGGATGCTCTCACACTTATCCCTTGCAATCTGGCTACCACAATCCCTCCCTCCCTCCTCCTCGCTCTCCTCGCTCTCCCCACTCTCCTCACCATCCACCCCATGCATCAGCAGTGGCTCTATTGACACACGCATGATCACTTTTGCACACAGTAGCTTCGTCTCTTGCAGCTCGTCCTCCCCAATCCCCCACCTACCCTCCCCCCCTTCCTCATCCTCCTCGTCCTCCTCCTCCTCTCTCTCCTCCTCCTTCTCATCATCATCTCCAGGCAATTTGAACAACGAGCTCAGCTCTAGAAACCCATTAGCCAGCTCGTAAGCCCATGGATACTCCAAAATCCGCTTCCCTAGTTTCCTCCACCTCCTCCTCCTCTCCCTCTCTCGCTCCCTTCTCCTCGCACTACCACTCCCGACACTACTCAACCCCCACACTCCCTCCCGCTCCCTCTCCCTCTCCCTCTCCCTCGCCCATTCCTTCCCTAGGATCGGCTCCAGCAGTGCCGAACCAAAAACCGAAGCAAATTCCCGCCTTGCCGAACCAGTCTGGGCTCGCAGCAACGCGAACCTAGCACCTGCTAAAAGCCTGACAATCCGGTTTGGAACAGGCTCGGCACCATTAGGCACGAGAGCCATCCGAACTGTCTCCCTCACACCCTCGGGATCGTCATATGTCGAAGCACAGGCTCGGATGCGGATCCGAACTGAAGCTTCACCGAGCCTGAGCTCCTCGGAACGGTCTGCCAGCAGCCAAAGGTCGTCCGGGGCCAGGTTCGGCAACCGAGCCGCTTCGGTAGCTATGAGGAGTACCAAGAGACCCGGGCCTGCTGCTGTGGTGGATACTAAAACACTGTCTAGTTGCCGAAGCTTGGGAGGGGTGGCGGATTGTGGGAGGGGCGCTAAGAGGGGGTGACTATAAAGGGGGTCGCTGTCAAAGTCCATACTAGGGGTGCGGCTTGTGCTGTTGGCCGCAGCGGAGGCAGACACATGGGCGGGTAACGTACCAGCAATGCTGGATGACGATTGGAGGATGGCGCGAAGAACTGCCAGCTCAGCAAGCTCAACCAATGGAGCGGGGCCAAGCCCATCCACCCCACCCCCCCCAGCACCAGCACCAGCAGCACCAGCAGCTGCTACAGCAGCACCAGCAGTATCAAACCGGCCTTTGGACGGCGGAGGCACAATGGGAATCGGGCAGGCGCTCACGAAACTCCTCTGCCTGCGATGCTTTTTCTTCTGCCCAGACGGGCTGCTAGCAACCATAAAGTCTTCCCCCACGCCATGACTACTCCCCTGAATATTCCCCTGAAGATTCCCCTGACTGGGATCTTCCCCCAGCAGGGCTATTCTCCAAGCCGCTTCCTCCAACCCCCCTCCCCGCTCCCCACCCAGCGACTCCCCACCCCCACTCACCCCGCCCCCCACTCGCCCCCCTCCTATGCCCCCCTGTACACCCCCCGGCGCAGCAGAGCCGGCAAGGAGCGCTGCAAACTCCTCATCCCCCCCAAACGACTTGATCACCGACACCTGCCCCGTGGGCGTGGGGGCAGCCATGGCATCCCCATAGCCGCCATAACTCCCATACCCACCAGCATACCCAACACCATATCCACCAGCGTAGCTACCAGCATAGCCAGCAGCGTAGCTGGCGCCGGGGCGCTGCCTGATCTGGCACTTGAGCGCGACGGCATCAACCATGTCCAGCAGGCACTGCAGCACGAACTCCCGGCACTCCTGCGCCTCCGACGCATCCTCCCACTCCGCCACTGGCCCCCCTGTTGCAGTCGAACCCGCCCCATCCCCACCTGCGCTCCTCCCCCCGGCTCTACTCCCCCCTGCCCTGCTTCCCCCTGCTCGGCTCCCCCCGGTTCTGCTGCCCCCAGGCCCGAACCCGGGCCCTGGCCCACTTCTAGCCCCCGTTCCATTCGTCCACCCACTAGCGACACTCCCTGGGCTTAGAGATTCCTCATCCTCATCCTCCGAATCGTTCTCTTCGTCGTCCGAATCCGAGCCTCCGTGCTCGCCACGGCCGCCGGACCTGCCGTGCTGAGCCTCCAGCTTCTTGCCGTACCGAGCCTGCCAGTCCTGCTTGCCAAGCCTATCCAGCAGCCGAAGCACACAGACAGCTGCGGTGGCAGGCTGCTGGCTAGCCGCGGCTGCTGTCAAGCCTAATAACCGAACCACATCCACGTGGAGTGGTGCTGGGTTCGGAACTGCTTTTTCTGCCATCACCAACCCTCCCAGCCCTGTTGCCGCCGAACCTAACACCGGACCTCTTGCCGAGCCAGGAGCGAAGCCGGCAGGTTCGGCCGAGGCAGCACTGCTTTCAGAGGATATCCCTATCCTACCCATCATGCTTGTGATCACATCGGATTCCCTGATACCAGTACCCACACTGAAGGTGCTTGCACTACTGATGGTGCTGACTGTGCTAATGGTGCTTCGAGCACCTCCCCATAAACCGCTGGCGTCACTACTGCTACTACTGCTACTACTGGTGCTGCTGCTGCTATTACTACCACTCAAAACAGCAGATTCGACAGAAAACCTGCTGCTCCCGAGCCTCCCGACGCTGCTCCGGCTCTTCCGAACGTCCCTCCCATCCCCTGCCATACCATCCAGCCTTCTCTCCTCCTGCCTGCCCTCAACAAGTCCCCCTCCTTGCACCACTGCCCCTACTGTCACCACCCCTACTCCTGCTCCTCCTCCTCCTGCTCCTAGAACGTCCCTTGCTCCTGCTGCCACAGCCCTAGGCCCAGGGGTAGCTACAGTGATCTGCCGCCCACTGGACGCTTCGAGAATCTCCTCAAGCAGTTTGTCCTGTAGTTGCCGCCCCGCCTCAGCCCGCAATGCTGATTCGAACGCCGAGCCTACCACCGAAGCACCGCCCAAACCTGTACCGTCGCTTTTGTAGTCCTCGTTATAGTGATAACCGTTCATTACGGTCACATCCTCTTCATCTGCACCTGCAGGGTCCTCAATCTCCAACGGCTCAACTATTGTCACCATGCGTTCTCGCTTTGGCCGGCTTTCCTTGTCCGTTTCAAAACCAACGTGGTGACTGTCCATGCCGTTGCCATTGACACCTGAGGAATCTCCTGATAAGTCCTCCTCCTCGCCTAAATCCACATCCCCAAATTCCTCCTCTTCTTTAATAGCCTCCACTCCGCCCAACAAACCCCTCCCCCTCTCCCTCTCCCCCACCCCACTCCAATCATTCCCTCCATCCTTCTCACACTCTCCTTCTGCTCCCCCCCCGTTACTGTCACCATCGCTCAAGTCAACTGAGAAAAAGTTTCCCACGTCTACAGTGTCGCTCTGCCCTATGGAATCAATAGAGGCCAACGAAAGCTTCCCTCCCGGACCACCCCCATCCCCTAACACCCCTCCCCCTCCTCCTCCTTCTCTAAACGACCTCCCTCCTTTCAAAGACCCCTCCCTTAACGAGCGTTCTCTAAACGAGCGCCCTCGTTCCTTCATCGAGCGGCTCTCTCTTAAAGACCGGCTCTTGCTCATAGACCTACTTCCCACGCGAGTCAACCCTCTCCTTTCTGAGAAACTTTCCGACCCAAGGCTCCCCAGCGCCCTCTCCCCGCCTCCCCTCCCACTCCCTGTGCTGTCCGCATGAGAGATGCTCCTTAAGCCCCCTTCCCCGCCTTCCCCGCCTCTCCCGCCTCTCCCGCCGCCCATCCCATAGTCCCCCCCACCAAACGTTGCGCTTCTGAACCCTCCAGTAACCCCTCCGCTCATTCCCCCCACCACATCTTCATTTCCGAATCCTCGTCCGAAATTCTCCTCCCTAACCGGACTCCACATCCCCCCATGCCCCCCCCCGGCTCCCCCTCCCCCGATTGGGGACTCTAGTTCTAGCCTGCCGCGGCACTCTAACCCGCTTCCGCCGCTGCTGCCTCTTCCGCCCCCGCCCATTCCCCCGCCAGTGACACCTCCCCCAGGTCCGCCTGCCCCGTGCTGCACAGGCGGCTTCCCCCACTCCTTCCAAAACTCCACCCACATAGCCAGACCCAATACAAACACCTCTTCTACTTGTAGCGGATCCAACCCTACTGGAGGCAACGGGCCCACGTACGCTAGGGTTTGCTCAGACGCGCCTATCCCAAACGCCAGAGCGCTCAACCCCGCGAAATCAAACCCCAGCGCAGCGGCCTCCGGCTCCCCTTCCCCCCGCGCCTTCCGCCGCTTGCGCCGTCGCGCCTCCGCAGCTGCTACAGCTGCGGCTGCGGCTGTAGCGGCTACAGATGCGGAGACCATCTGAATGGTGGCCACCAGCCAATCGTACTCCGCGCGAGCAAGGCGCAAGAGCGCCGCTTCTAGAACCTCCTGTGCTTCCTGTGACGTCACCTCTCCCGCCCGCTCCACCGCAACAGCTACGAGCCGACGAGTGGAGAGCCGCTTTAACGGCCCCTGCGGCACCACCTGATCCCGCTGAGGCGCAGCCGCCCCCGCCGCCGCCGGCGCTGCTGGGGTCGCCGGGGCTCGCGGCGGGAGTCCCGCGCCGCCGCTGGCGGTGAGGAACGGCGAGGGAGAGCGAGATTCGGGGAGCTGGTAAGGCGGCGGATCGAAAAAGTTTGGGGAGGGGGAGTAGGCGGAGGGGGAGGTGGGGAAATGGAGGAGGTGAGGAGGCGTGGCGTTGTAGGAGGAAGGCAGCGGGGACTGCTGCTGAAGATCCGACGAACAATCGTCGCCGTCCTTATTGTCGTCGCCGCTATCTGCGTCTGCGACGCCGTCGCCGTCGCCGTCGCCGTCGTCGTCGTCTTGCTCGTCAGCAGCCGTCAGATCTGACGTGGCGACGACGGCGGCGCTGGAGATCTTCTCGACGTACTGCGTGAGGAGATTCGAGACCGCATCGTGAACCCAATCCTCCTCGGTTAGGAGATTTTCCAAGCCTGAGAGCAAGGTTCGGGATGATTCCAAATCTTTCAGATGGGGAGAGGGAGGTTGGCCGAAGGCTGGAAAAGAGGGTGCGACGAGATTCGCTGGTAGGGCGAAGTCGGTATACGGCCATTCTGCCGCCGTCGAATTGGCCTGACCCATGGCCAATCCCCGAAAGGCAGGACGGAAACCGAGGGCTCAGGATTTTTCAATGGCGATGGCGTTCATGCATCGACTAAGAGTGAAGGCGAAAGAAGTACTTCTGACACGAGTAAAAGAGAGATAGCCATCTCATTTCTGCAGAGTCGGCTCTGGTACGAGATGGATGGCTACACAAGCAGGTGCTGATGAGACCCATTCACGAGATGCCATGTGCAGAGTAAACATGGTTCGTCAATGACAACGGAAACGCCGTTGCAGGTTGCTCATATCCTGTTCACAAGCTCACAACAACATAGCTTCATAGATTCCTCTCGCGAAGTGATGCCAGTTCCGTGGAGACGAGCAGAACCCAGAACGGACGGTGGGTGGACATTTGTGCACAGACGGAGACTAGGTGCGTACAGACTGAAGAGCATTCCTGTTTGGGGTTGCCCAGCAGTTTGCGTGATTTCTGACGGATGCGGTCATCGTCCGTCGCTTGTTGTCGCAAACAGGTGACACTCCGCAGCGTAGCCACACAAGACGTTTCGTTCCGTCAGCTCTGTCATCGAGCGATGCGGTATTCTGGCGCGCTTGCGATCTGCACCAATGGGAGTGGAGCCCAAGGCACACTGACAGGGAAGCACATCCCGCCATCAGGGCAAGAAGCAGAATTTCGGTGACCAATGTCGTCTTTGTGCGAAGGGTTACCTTGTTTCAGAAGAAGAAAAGTTCGTTAAGATCGCCAAACCAGAACTCGGCACTCGGCTGGTCAGCAGCGTGCGCAAGCGAAAACCATCACGGAGGCACTGAACCAGAGAGCGCGGAAACCCCAGGGTGGGAGACGAGGACAGGATGGTGCTGCCTGGAGTGACGAGCAGCCTCAAGGTTTGATTGGAGAGAACAACTTTGGTTGTTCAATAACTGGTAACTTCCCCCGTAACCAATTAAGAAAAAGCGCATCCGGACCGTTCATTAGCCATCTTCTTTGCTGTCACACGAGATTCATGCTGCTAGACAACTGGAAAGCAACTCTCGAGGCCTTTTTCCCCTGGGAGCTTGTCCACACCTCCTTTTTTACACCAACCTGCCTTCAGTCTACCTCCTGTTCAGTCCCGTTTAGGTCTTGCCGTTGCTTCAGGGTGCCTGAGCCTACGGGACGTGTGCGTAGCGTTATGGACAACGGATATTAAGTCAGTCCTGAGGCGCGACACGGATGCGCTTGTTGGGAGAGAGAGCCTCGTTGCAGTCGAGGCAGTTAAAAATCCCGATCCCGATGCACTCACTTTAATACTAAAAGCGAGTATTTTTCTCCAGGATATTTCCGGCTCTTAGTATCAACCCTATTGTCAAGAGCTTTAGGGTTTCGTCGTAAGAGCGAAAGATGGAAATGGAAGATGGAGAACCCCCCCGTATCGCACCCGCCTATACGCCGTGCACTTTCGAAGGCGAGTCGCCTGGTCCCCGCTGCGGTCACACGCTCACCTCCGTCGCGCCGGTCGGGGAGCCTGGCAGCGCGAACTACATCGGTCCGCGGCTTATTCTCTTCGGCGGAGCGACGGCGCTGGAGGGAGGCGCGGGACCCGCGGCAGGAGCAGCGGCGGGAATCCGTAAGTCAGGATGTTCTGGCGAGATCGGTCGCAACGCGGTTGCTGAATTAGGTCCCTAGCTGCCATCCCGTTGAGGGCCAGTATAACGTTAATCGCTTTTCGGACGGTGTGGCTTCCCTCAATTAGGGTTATGGTCGTGCCTCATTAAGTCGACTACCATCTGCTAGTTCTGAAATGCAGCCTATCGAGCATGCGTCGGACTTCACGTGCGGTCGCTTAGAAACGAGCGCTTCGTCATATTTGTCATTTATTCTCGCACCTTGGGCACCAGCTCGCACGCCACATGTCGGCGTCGTCCAGCCAAGCTCCCTCTTTTCTTCCCCCTTCGTTGCAATTTCCCAGCTTCCCCAGTCCGTCTTACTTTTCCGTTAAAACCTTTAGAAGCCGCTGTCCGAGTGCACTGTTTAGGCGTCACCGCCGGGACTCGGAAGCAGCTCAACTCGAGCTCTTATAGTTTTGAACGAGTCGACTTTTAAGTTCTCTCGCTTTCGCGCTGCATCGCATCGTTTCCTTCGTTCTTGCAGGTCTGGCTGGAGCCACGGCGGACGTGCATTGCTTCGACGTCAACTCCAGGACATGGAACAAGTAAGCGCATCCAATCGGCGTGGTGCAGCTCGTTTCGGAGTTATTAATGATCGATTGCGCTTCGTTCGTATCGGGAAAAAAAACATAAAACGCCTTATATGCCCACTCCAGGGCATGGTGCAAGTGAGCGCCATCCGCGCATTTCGCTTGTCCACCAAAGATTACGTTCGCGCATTTCTCACACTGTCAGCATGCCAGAATCTCTAGCCGTATCTCGCAGTAGCAAGCATCACGTTTCCGCGTTTTCCTTCTCACAGGTTATCCCCTGCGCGAGCCTCCGTCCCCGCGAGCAGCGCATGCAGCAACGGCCGTGGGCACCATGGTGGTGATTCAGGGCGGCATAGGGCCCGCTGGCCTTGCCACTGACGTCTCTCATGCACGCATGTCCCCATTCTCCTCCGTGTGTCCCCCTACTCCCCCCACTCACTCCAGGCTGTCTCCAGTAGGCGAGCCCCCGTCCCCGCGAGCAGCGCATGCGGCGACGGCCGTGGGCACCATGGTGGTGATTCAGGGCGGCATAGGGCCCGCTGGCCTGGCCACTGACGATCTCCACGTGCTGGACTTGACACAGACTCGACCCAAGTGGCACAGGTGCGGCTTGTACTGCTTACAAGGGCAGCTTCAAAAGGAGTTCTTTTTTTGCTTGTAGCCACACATGGGTTTGATCTTTAGCGACGGGCTGTACTAAAGCTGTTGCTGTTCATTGGCTTGTGCCTGTAGCGCTGTTCTGATACCGTTTCTGTGGGTGGCATGGCATGTGCTTGTACCGAACAGAGTGGTGGTGCAGGGAGCTGGGCCCGGCCCTCGATATGGTCACGTCATGGCGCTCGTGGGGCAGCGCTTCCTGCTCTCCATCAGTGGAAACGACGGTGAGGGTTGTGATGTGGCTGAGGGTTGTGATATGGCTGAGGGTTGTGATATGGCTGACGGTTGTGATATGGCTGACGGTTGTGATATGGCTGACGGTTGTGATATGGCTGACGGTTGTGATATGGCTGACGGTTGTGATATGGCTGAGGGTTGTGATATGGCTGACGGTTGTGATATGGCTGACGGTTGTGATATGGCTGACGGTTGTGATATGGCTGACGGTTGTGATATGGCTGACGGTTGTGATATGGCTGAGGGTTGTGATATGGCTGACGGTTGTGATATGGCTGACGGTTGTGATATGGCTGACGGTTGTGATATGGCTGACGGTTGTGATATGGCTGAGGGTCGTGATGTGGCTGAGGGTTGTGGTGTGGCTCTTTCAGTGTGCCTCTTGCGGAGGGTGTGATGAAGTTGTCGAGTCTGCTCGTTGCCACAGCACGTGGCTCCTGAGTGCGTGCACGGAGCAGCACTGATTGCACACAACGCCAGTGATGCTGGGGAATGGGGAATGCTTTTGTTGAACCTCCTGGTTTTTTCACTTGTTTCCTTTCCCCCTGCAGGCAAGCGGCCGCTGTCAGACGTGTGGTCTCTTGACACGGCAGCCAAGCCGTACGAGTGGAAGAAGCTGGACCCCGAGGGGGAGGGCCCCCCTCCCTGCATGTATGCCACGGCCAGTGCGAGGCACGACGGGCTGCTGCTGCTGTGCGGCGGCAGGGACGGCAACAGCGTGGTGAGTGGCGGGTGCTATTCTGAGTGAGGCTGCTCAGATGGGAGATTGAGGTGGCTCAACAGACACCAATGGCCAGTGCGAGGCATGACGGGCTGCTGCTGCTGTGCGGCGGCAGGGACGGCAACAGCGTGGTGAGTTTGGTAGCTTCATACGCTCAGGTGCACTTAACACCCTCATCACCCGCACCCCTAACTACCCACCAACACTCTGTTTCCCCCCCCCCCCCCCCTTTCCCCCCTGCTCTTCTCTCATGGCCCTTGCCACTCCCTCTCTACGTCGCCCCCTACTTCTTGGATCCCATCCCACCAGCCTCTACCCGGGGCTTTTGGCTTGGCCCGGCATCGGGATGGGCGGTGGGAGTGGGCTGTGGCGCCTGGCGTGTCCCCCTCAGCGCGCTACCAACACGCTGCTGTGAGTTCCCTGTAACGAGCGGGAGTGAGTGTGATTCCCCACCTCCTGCCGCCCTCTTGCCCTCCCCTTGCCCACCTCATGCTACAAGTGCACCTGTTTGGATCGCTCCCTTGCACTCACCCGCCCTTACCTCCATGCCTGGTTGCATCCCTGCATGCCTTTTGTTTTTGTGCGCGTGAATGTCTGGGCCTGGTTGCGTGCACATGTGTGAGCACATCCATGCATGCAGGTGTTTGTGGGGCTGCGCCTGCACGTATCTGGGGGGGCGTTGGGTGGTGGCAGGATGGTTGAAGACGCCTCCAGTGTGGCAGGTCAGTGTGACTATAGCGAGACCATATGGCAATCATGGTGGTTCAGGCTCATGAGAAGAAACCCGCCCCTGCAACCCCGCCCTTCCTCCACCCTTCTCCCCTCCCAATCCGTTATCACTCACTCGCTCACACGTCCTCCCGCACTCACTCTCTCCTGCAGACACAATCCTGGACATGGTAGCATGGGTCGGGTGTGGTGCGACTGCAAGGCCATCGTATCCTCTCTCTCACCCCCTCCCCCGGTCCCCCCCGATCCCCCCCTTCCCCCACTCCCTTTGTCTCGCACAGTCCTGGACACAGCAGCAGGCGTCTGGTGTGATCGCAAGGCGATGGTGTCGGTTGCCCGCACGGGCCGCTACAGTGCCGATGCGCCGGGTGGCGACGCGTCTACCGAGCTGACACGCCGCTGCCGCCACGCCGCCGCCTCCGTGGCGGATATTATCTTCGTGTACGGCGGGCTGCGGGGCGGCGTGCTCTTGGACGATCTGCTCATAGCGGACGACACGCCGCCCGAGCAGCCCACCCTGCCACCGTCCGCGCCGGCCAAGGAGCCTGTGTCTGGTTCTGCGCGGAAGCCGCCCATGCCGCCCAGATCAGGGATTCTTGGGGGGGAGGGGCGGCAGGGCGTGGCTGTGGCGTCGGCTGTTGCTGCGCCGGACGACAGAGAGGAGGATATTGGGGCCGAGCATGCGAACGACCACCTGCATGAGTGAGTGGGGGAAGGGGGGAAAGTGAAGGGAAAGTGAAGGGAAAGTGATTATGGAAGGTATGGGCTGGCTGCACAGGATGACAGAGAGGAGGATGTTGGGCCGAGCTTGCGATTGACCAAGTGCATCAGTAGCATGTGGATGGGGCGCCTGCTGGGGCTGCATGCGTGAAAGGAGTTTTGATACTCCTTTTCGACTCACCTTTGTTGTCCTCTGTTCCCCTCATAGGGTGGACGAGGAGTCAGCGGAGCAGCTAGCGCGGATCAACAAGGAGGAGGTGGAGGCGGCAAGCAGTGGGGGGGACACACCCACCTCGTTTTCACTCCCTCTTCCTCACACACTCCCTGTCCGCACTGTTCCCCACCACAGGGTTGACGAGGAGTCAGCGGAGCAGCTGGCGCGAATCAGCAAGGAGGAGATGGAGGTGGCGAGGCAGGCTGTGGAGAGGGGCGACCGCCCTTCCCCTTACACCCAACCGCACCCCTTCCTTCCCACACTCCATGTGTGCTGCACTGACTGCAGGGTGGACGAGGAGTCGGCAGAGCAGCTAGCGCGGATCAACAAGGAGGAGATGGAGGTGGCGAGGCGGGCCATGGAGCGCGGCGGCAGTGGCGACCTCACAGGGGACGATATGGACGACCGCCGCTATGGCGGCACGCCGCCCCCGCCCACCGCGGCCAGCCTCGCCAGGAGTGCTCTAGATGATGGGCGCAGTGAGACCCCGGCGTTCAAGAATGTTACTCTGTACCGCCGTGCGGTGAGTTCCTGGGGGGTTGAGTTGAGCAGACGTGGTAGGCCGTGCCAGGAGCACGCTCGATGATTGGCGCAGCGAGACGCCTGCCTTCAAGAACGTCACCCTCCACCGTCGTGCGGTGAGTTGCCGTGTGACGTTTGAGTAAAGTCAAAAGCTGGCCCTCCTCCCACCGCTGCTACCCTGTGACACTGGAGGTTGTCGTTTTGAGGCGCCTCAAAACTACCCTGTGACACTGGAGGTTGTCGTTTTGAGGCGCCTCAAAACTACCCTGTGACACTGGAGGTTGTCGTTTTGAGGCGCCTCAAAACTACCCTGTGACACTGGAGGTTGTCGTTTTGAGGCGCCTCAAAACTACCCTGTGACACTGGAGGTTGTCGTTTTGAGGCGCCTCAAAACTACCCTGTGACACTGGAGGTTGTCGTTTTGAGGCGCCTCAAAACTACCCTGTGACACTGGAGGTTGTCGTTTTGAGGCGCCTCAAAACTACCCTGTGACACTGGAGGTTGTCGTTTTGAGGTGCCTCAAAACTACCCTGTGACACTGGAGGTTGTCGTTTTGAGGCGCCTCAAAACTACCCTGTGACACTGGAGGTTGTCGTTTTGAGGCGCCTCAAAACTACCCTGTGACACTGGAGGTTGTCGTTTTGAGGCGCCTCAAAACTACCCTGTGACACTGGAGGTTGTCGTTTTGAGGCGCCTCAAAACTACCCTGTGACACTGGAGGTTGTCGTTTTGAGGCGCCTCAAAACTACCCTGTGACACTGGAGGTTGTCGTTTTGAGGCGCCTCAAAACTACCCTGTGACACTGGAGGTTGTCGTTTTGAGGCGCCTCAAAACTACCCTGTGACACTGGAGGTTGTCGTTTTGAGGCGCCTCAAAACTACCCTGTGACACTGGAGGTTGTCGTTTTGAGGCGCCTCAAAACTACCCTGTGACACTGGAGGTTGTCGTTTTGAGGCGCCTCAAAACTTCCCTGTGACACTGGAGGTTGTCGTTTTGAGGCGCCTCAAAACTACCCTGTGACACTGGAGGTTGTCGTTTTGAGGCGCCTCAAAACTACCCTGTGACACTGGAGGTTGTCGTTTTGAGGCGCCTCAAAACTACCCTGTGACACTGGAGGTTGTCGTGATCTGAGTTCCCACAGAACATCTTTGGTCACAATTCTACTCCCCCCTGGCTCACCCACCCGCTGCAGGTGGTGGTGGCGGCAGACCCTGCAGCGGCGGGCAGTCTGGGCGGGCTGGTGCGGCAGCTGTCCATCGACCACCTGGAGAACGTCTGGGTGCTGTGCTGCAGGCAGTAGCTGCCGCTTCTCCCACTGCTGCCAGCCTTGCTTGACCCTGCGCCGGATGGAGGAGGCGGTTGCATTGTGAGGCACCTCAAAACACCTGTTTCGTGCCTTTTCCGCTCCCCCCAACCGCCCCCCCCCCCCTCTTTCACCCGCCCGCTGCAGGTCGTGGTAGCGGCAGACCCTGCGGCAGCGGGCAGTCTGGGCGGGCTGGTGCGGCAGCTGTCCATCGACCACCTGGAGAACGAGGGCCGGCGCATCAGCTTTGGCCCCGAGGGCGGTGCTGGCCCGCCCAAGCTGCTCAACAGGCAGATGTCCATGCAGGGCGTGCATAAGAAGGTGCGCTATTGACTCTACTGGGAACTGTTTGTATGGGGGCTGATGGTTGAGTGCACATGAGCTTTGCACTGCTGGCCGGCCCAAGCTGCTCAACAGGCAGATGTGCATGCAGGGCATGCATAAGAAGATCAGGGAGCTGCCTCAATGAGAGCTGCTAGTAGGGAGTATGGATCAGGCTCACAAAACAACGTATGCACTGCTGTCCTCGTACAAGTCGCTTCAGCATTTCAAGGGACACCCTCCTCGCCCGCGTTCCCCCCCCCCCACACCACCTCGTGCGTTTTCCACAGGTCCTGCAGACGCTGCTGAAGTCGCGCGCGCCCACGAAGAGGCAGTTATTCCTGCATATGTCATGCATAATGGGCCTGACCCCCTCCCCCCCCCCCCCTCGCCGCCCCGTTCTCATGCCCCCCCGATTCCCACAGGTCCTCCAGACGCTGCTGAAGCCACACTCCTGGAAGCCTACGAAGTGGCAGTTTCTTCCTGGACGTGTTGCTCTTGCTTCACCCAACACACCCGGTACACTTCCCTCCAACCCCTCCAACCACCTTCCCATTCCCACAGGTCCTGCAGACGCTGCTGAAGCCGCGCGCGTGGAAGCCCCCCACGAAGAGGCAGTTCTTCCTGGACGTGCACGGGGTGGTGGAGCTGTGCGACCTGGCAGAGAACATCTTCAAGAACGAGCCGTCCGTGCTGCAGGTGGGACTGGCTGGCTGACATGGGGTGGTGAGGGCCAGATCTGTGTGCGGCGGGGCAAACGGGGCAGCACTGCGCGTTGCAGGTATGATGCGAGGGGCCAAGGAGGTGGGGCATGAGGGAGCGCGCTGCGGGTGGGGCATTAGGTGATGGAGCAGCCCAACTGCAGGTGAGGGGTTCAGGTGAGGGGTTCTCGTGTGCCAGTGAAGATCTTCAGCGACCTGCACGGGCAGTCTGGTGATCTCATGGACCTCTCCCCGCTACTCTATCGTGTGCTCTCTATCGTGTGCTCTCTATCGTTTGCTCTCTATCGTGTGCTCTCTATCGTGTGCTCTCTATCGTGTGCTCTCTATCGTGTGCTCTCTATCGTTTGCTCTCTATCGTGTGCTCTCTATCGTGTGCTCTCTATCATGTGCTCTCTATCGTGTGCTCTCTATCGTGTGCTCTCTATCGTGTGCTCTTTATCGTGTGCTCTTTATCGTGTGCTCTCTATCGTGTGCTCTCTATCGTGTGCTCTCTATTGTGTGCTCTCTATTGTGTGCTCTCTATCGTGTGCTCTCTATCGTGTGCTCTCTATCGTGTGCTCTCTATCGTGTGCTCTCTATCGTGTGCTCTCTATCGTGTGCTCTCTATCGTGTGCTCTCTATCGTGTGCTCTCTATCGTGTGCTCTCTATCGTGTGCTCTCTATCGTGTGCTCTCTATCGTTTGCTCTCTATCGTTTGCTCTCTATCGTGTGCTCTCTATCGTGTGCTCTCTATCGTGTGCTCTCTATCGTTTGCTCTCTATCGTGTGCTCTCTATCGTGTGCTCTCTATCGTGTGCTCTCTATCGTGTGCTCTCTATCGTGTGCTCTCTATCGTGTGCTCTCTATCGTGTGCTCTCTATCCGGCTACATTATCCCGCTGTCCCCCCGTGTGCTCTCTCGATCCCCCCTCCTCAATTGTCCCCTTCGCTGCTCCCCCTTGTGCAGGTGCGAGCGCCAGTGAAGATCTTTGGTGACCTGCACGGGCAGTTTGGCGATCTCATGCGCCTCTTCGACGAGTACGGCTCGCCATCCACTGCAGGCGATATCGCGTGAGTGCTCCCTAACTCTCTAGACCCTGCGCTCTGCCCTTAAGCCAACCAGTAGTGCACTTGAGCCCTACCACTGGGCTTCTTCTGCCCTCTACCACACGCTTCCTTCCTTCATGCCGTGTTGCACTCCTCTCCCTCTCCCCCCCACACTCCCCCCCACACTCCTCCCCACCTCCCTCCCAGCTGCATCAACCACCTGTTTCTGGGAGACTTTGTAGGCACAGGCCAGCTCTGCCCTACTGCTCGTTTCATCGTCTCATTGTTTCATCGTCTCATTGTTTCATTGTCTCATTGTTTCATTGTCTCATTGTTTCATCGTCTCATTGTTTCATTGTCTCATTGTTTCATCGTCTCATTGTTTCATCCTCTCATTGTTTCATTGTCTCATTGTTTCATCGTCTCATTGTTTCATCGTCTCATTGTTTCATTGTCTCATTGTCTCATTGTCTCATTGTTTCATTGTCTCATTGTTTCATCGTCTCATTGTTTCATTGTCTCATTGTTTCATCGTCTCAGACCCTCGCTCCCTGTCGTAGGTGATTTTTGAGTCGACTAAAAAATCAGACCCTCGCTCCCTGTCCGCTACCTCAGCCACATCGACTATCTGTTTCTGGGAGACTTTGTGGTCAGAGGTGCTCAAGCCTCGAGTCCAGCATCCTGCTGCTCACTCTCTCACACCCACTGTCCTTTCCCTGCACTACCCCCCCCTCCTCTCCCCCCCCCCCTCACCCTCCCTCTCTCCCCCCTCTCCTCTCTCCAGCTACATCGACTATCTCTTCCTGGGAGACTATGTGGACAGAGGCGCGCACAGCCTGGAGACAATCATTCTGCTGCTCGCTCTCAAGGTGGGCGGGCTGTAATGGCTCTGACGCTGCCCTTTAGCTAGGTACAGTGCCTAATCTGGTGATTTAAGATGGTTGTTTTAAGCTCGGTGTGAAGCTTAAGATGTGTGCTGGCAATTATTACCCAACGCGTAACGTGTCCCCCCTCCCCCGCTCCTCTCTCCACCCCCAGATCGAGCACCTGCGCAACGTGCATCTGATCCGTGGGAACCACGAGGCGGCGGACATCAACGCACTGTTTGGGCGAACAGACAGGCATCTGAGCCCCCTCCCCCCCCCTTGCCACCCCATTCCCCACTCGCTGTTCCCCTCGTCTCTCTTCTCTCCCTCCACCCCCCTTTCCTCTCTCCTCCTCCACGTTTTCCCCCCCGCCTTCTTGCAACCCAGATCGAGCACCCGCGCAACGTGCATCTGATCCGCGGCAACCACGAGGCGGCGGACATCAACGCGCTGTTTGGGTTCCGCATCGAGTGCATCGAGCGCATGGGCGAGCAGGCGGGCATCTGGGCGTGGCAGCGCATAAACCAGCTCTTCAACTGGCTGCCGCTGGCAGCGCTCATCGAGAAGAAGATCATCTGCATGCACGGGGGGATTGGGCGGTCCATCCAGCACGTGTCGCAGATCGAGGAGCTCCAGAGGCCCATTAGCATGGAGGCGGGGTCCATGGTGCTCATGGACCTGCTCTGGTGAGGCACATGCATGCTCGGGTTGATGATTATGATGGACCTGCTCTGGTGAGTCACATGCATGCTCGGGTCGATGATTATGATGGATCTGCTCTGGTGAGGCACATGCATGCTCGGGTCGATGATTATGATGGACCTGCTCTGGTGAGGCACATGCATGCTTGGGTCGATGATTATGATGGACCTGCTCTGGTGAGGCACATGCATGCTCGGGTCGATGATTATGATGGACCTGCTCTGGTGAGGCACATGCATGCTCGGGTCGATGATTATGATGGACCTGCTCTGGTGAGGCACATGCATGCTCGGGTCGATGATTATGATGGACCTGCTCTGGTGAGGCACATGCATGCTCGGGTCGATGATCATGATGGACCTGCTCTGGTGAGTCACATGCATGCTCGGGTCGATGATTATGATGGACCTGCTCTGGTGAGGCACATGCATGCTCGGGTCGATGATTATGATGGACCTGCTCTGGTGAGGCACATGCATGCTCGGGTCGATGATTATGATGGACCTGCTCTGGTGAGGCACATGCATGCTCGGGTCGATGATTATGATGGACCTGCTCTGGTGAGGCACATACATGCTCGGGTCGATGATTATGATGGACCTGCTCTGGTGAGGCACATGCATGCTCGGGTCGATGATTATGATGGACCTGCTCTGGTGAGGCACATGCATGCTCGGGTCGATGATTATGATGGACCTGCTCTGGTGAGGCACATGCATGCTCGGGTCGATGATTATGATGGACCTGCTCTGGTGAGGCACATGCATGCTCGGGTCGATGATTATGATGGACCTGCTCTGGTGAGGCACATGCATGCTCGGGTCGATGATTATGATGGACCTGCTCTGGTGAGGCACATGCATGCTCGGGTCGATGATTATGATGGACCTGCTCTGGTGAGGCACATGCATGCTCGGGTCGATGATCATGATGGACCTGCTCTGGTGAGGCACATGCATGCTCGGGTCGATGATCATGATGGACCTGCTCTGGTGAGTCACATGCATGCTCGGGTCGATGATTATGATGGACCTGCTCTGGTGAGGCACATGCATGCTCGGGTCGATGATTATGATGGACCTGCTCTGGTGAGTCCAAGAATTTCCACCTCACAGACTCTGGTTTCCCTTCCATTTCGCCCACCACCCCTCTACCCCCCCCCCCCCCCCCCTCTTCCTGACCCATCACCCTCACCCTCCAGTTGATATAAGGTTGGTTTTGAGACGTCTCAAAACCAGCCTTATTTCCTGACCCATCACTCTGACCCTCCATGACCCTGCGTTCTGTCCTCTCCCTCTCGCTCATCCCCTTGCAGGTCCGACCCCACAGAGAACGACAGCATCGAGGGGCTCCGACCCAACGCCCGTGGACCCGGCCTCGTCACGTTCGGGGTGAGTCTGTGTGTACCTCGGTCTGTGTTTCACTCCACCACTGGCTCTCCTGGTTTGCCCCGCTGCTATGGCTCTGTCTTCTCGTCTTCTCTGGTCTCTCCGTAGTGCAACAGTTCTCTGCCCCCCTCCTCTTGCAGCCCGATCGCGTGGTGGATTTCTGCCAAAACAATGGCCTGAGCTTGTCATGCACATGCATGGCTGTGTTCTTTCGAGTCGACTCAAAAGTCAACAATGGCCTGCAGCTTGTCATGCACATGCATGGCTGTGTTCTTTCGAGTCGACTCAAAACTCAACAATGGCCTGCAGCTTGTCATGCACATGCATGACTGTGTTCTTTCTGCCTCGTCACACACCAACACAACCCCCCCGTCTCCCGTCCCTCACCTGTGCAGCCCGACCGTGTGATGGAGTTCTGCCAGAACAACGACCTGCAGCTCATCATCCGCGCGCATGAGTGCGTCATGGACGGCTTTGAGCGCTTCGCTGCCGGCCACCTCATCACACTCTTCTCGGCCACCAACTACTGCGGTGAGTGCTGTGGGCTTTGTGGTTGCAATAGGTCTGTCTGCTTCTTAGTCACATCACAAGCGCTTTGCTGCCGGCCACCTCATCACACTCTTCTCCGCCACCAACTACTGCGGTGAGTGGCACTAGCGACCGGGGGAGTGCTGCTGACTTTGTGGTTGCAATAGGCGCATGGAATGCGCTTTGCTGCCGGCCACCTCATCACTCTCTTCTCTGCCACCAACTACTGCGGTGAGTGCGGCTTTGGTTGCGGCTGTGAGTGCGGCCGTGAGTGCGGCTTACTTCATGATTGCAATAATGGGTCTGTTTCTTGGGCGCCTTATTTATTGCTATGCTCTGGCCACCTCATCACACTCTTCTCTGCCTCCAACTATTGCGGAGTGGCACTGCCTTGCTGGCTGGGGCGAGTGCTGCTGCAATAATGAGCCACCTGACCACTGCAGAGAGTGGCAGCAGCACCTCTGCAGAGAGTTCCAGCGGCACCTCAGCCTCCTTCTTCCCATAGACCCTCCACCCCTCCTTGCATCCCTTCTTGCCCCACTCAATCCCTCCCTCCATCCCTTGTCTCCGGCACACCATCCACAGGCACTGCCAACAACGCTGGTGCCATTCTGGTGCTCGGGAGGGACCTTGTTGTCTTCCCTAAGATGATCCACCCGCTGCCGCCCACCGGCAACTCTGGTAGCTCGTCGCCTGACTACCAGGACGAATGGATGCAGGTCAGCCTCCCTCTCCTCGCCCCCTCCGAGCCTTCCTCACTCCCTCCCTCCCTTTCTCACTTCCTCCATACCCCCCTCCCTCCCTCTCGCTTGTTCTCCACTATTCCGTCCCTACCTCTCCCCTCCTCCCTCCATCTGAGTTGTACCCCTTATCTCCCCGCTTGCTCGAGGTTCCTTTAGGTTGTTTGGGGATCATGGCGGCCTTTTTAATCTATTTTCTTGTTTATTTTCTTGCCTCATCCGTCTCCCATTTCCAGGAGCTCAACTCGCAACGGCCACCAACGCCCACACGCGGCCGCCCCCAACCAGCCAATGACCGCAACTCACTAGCCTTCATTTGAATTACTCTGCTTTCCATCACATGAGTGGGATGTCGAAAAATTGGACAGTTGACACACGCTTCATACCTGGAGATTGTATTCTATTCCTCTTCGTGGACCAAAAGCACCACATAGGTTTCCTTGGGTTGAATTGAATCTCATGGAAATTCGATTTAGACATGAAGTGTCTTAGTTGTTGAAGCCTTACTGTTCTGCTATAAACATTTTTCCCCGCCCTTTTGTCGGCGACTGGTCAGATTTTTTTTCAGGGGGTTGGCACAGAGCTAATCTATTGGATAAGGGCGTATCTGGTTGGCTCCAACCCGCTGGGACTCGAATGGTGGTCGGGAAACAGGAGAACAACGACGACCAATGGGATGGGGTGTGCTTCTCCGCGTCACGCTATCCAACTCACCAAAGGCAAAGAACCTGGCCCAGGGTCGTCCCGAGCTTTTTAACGGAATTTTGGGTCGACGTGTGCCAGGTGGCATTAACTTCTGACTCCACGCTGTTCGTCACTGTCAATGTGTCAAACTATTGGCCGTGCGCAAATTGGCGGTGCTTGTACTCGTTGTAGAGGCGCGACTCGATCAGCGGGCCTTTGATCACAAGCCAGAAAGTACTCTCGAAATTCCCGACACCCGAGTGGGAGGGACCAATCGACCAGCCAGGATGCAGGCAGCCACCCATCCATCATCCATGCTACCTTGGGGGTTTGTCCACCATCGCACGGCCAGGATTTCCCCACGGGGTGCACACTCGGTCACCGTGATTACACGAAGGAACTTCGGCCCGTTCAAGTTTCCAGTTTGTTGGAGAACCCTTCGAAAAACTTTTGAGATTGGCTTTGTGGTTGCTGCTGCTGCTTGTTAGAAACTGCTGATCATAGGCAGTTCAAGCAGCAATTTCTGAAGGTGGTGGTTTGTGCAGGGGTTTCCAAGTACACGAGAACCACACCATGGCTGCCACTACAGCCTGCAGAACCGGCCTCAAGTTTGCTGCAGGCCTCAATGCAGCCAGCCAGACCCGCCAGATTTCGTCCGCGAGTCGGATCGGTGGCCTGAAGCTCCGCGTTCCCGAATCCGCTACGCTGGTCAAGAATGCTCGGCCTCAGGTCAGCATGGTGCTTGCTGTGCCGCCGATGACTCTCGGCGACGACCCCAAGGAGCCGCAATCCGGCCAGGATTTCGACGCCTCTGCTCCTCCGCCATTCACGCTGGCGGATATCCGCGCGGCGATCCCGAAGCACTGCTGGGAGAAGGACGCGCTGAAGTCTATGGCGTATCTCGTGTGGGACGTCGCCGTGGTGTTCGGCCTGGCTGCTGTCGCGCAAGCGGTGGATCAATGGTGGCTCTGGCCGGTGTACTGGCTTGCTCAGGGCACCATGTTCTGGGCGCTCTTCGTCATCGGTCATGACTGGTATGCCTGTGGAAAGGAACTTGTGCTTTTACTTGCCGACCCATAGTCATGTGTTGTAGCTTAGAGGGAAAGAATCCGAAAACTACATCGCAAAAATTTCTTCGTCGAAAATACTATTTCATTAGTTGAGAATCTAAACCCTCGAATCTGGAATGTGTGTTGCTTTCCCCCAGTGGTCATGGGAGCTTCTCCAACAACAAGGCTTTGAACGACGTGGTCGGCCATCTGACACATTCCTCGATTCTCGTGCCGTACCATGGATGGTGAGTAGGGATTACAACCTTGGGCGGGAACTGAATCGCAGCAGCCATTGTTCTGTCAAACCTCCAGTCAACTCATAATTGGCGCTTGTGTGTACAGGAGGATTAGCCACCGCACACATCACGCCAACCATGGCCACGTGGAAAATGACGAATCGTGGCATCCAGTAAGTATTGCGACCATCTTGGGAACTCCTTTTGCTTGATTGCTTTTGGCACGCCTAACCTGCCAACTACATTATCCATGCACAGATTTCCAAGGACAAGTATGATCAAATGGAGTTTTGGTCCAAGGTCGGACGACTCAAGTTCCCGTGGCCTCTCTTCGCCTACCCATTCTACCTGGTACTTCACCTTTCACAATATTACATACGTTGCTATGTGTCCTTGTTCTCGCCGGACACTAACGTAGCTGTTTCTCGTCTGCACAGTGGAAGCGGAGCCCTGGCAAGGATGGTTCGCATTTCGATCCGAACTGCGATCTGTTCACGCCCAACGAGAAGAACGACGTCCTCACATCTGCGACGTGCTGGTGGTCCATGGTTGGAATACTGGCCGCGCTCACCGTCTTCATGGGACCCGTCTCGATTTTCAAGCTCTACGTTGTTCCGTACTGGGTAAGTTGCGTCAATTCGTGTGCCGAGTCTTTCATCACGAGATTCTTGAGCTCTTTCTGTTTGGCATTGTCTGCTCTTTCACGACTTAATTTTATCCTTCCTCACATCCTTTTCTCATGCAGATTAATGTCGTATGGCTTGATGTTGTCACTTACCTGCACCACCATGGCTATGACAAGAAGGTTCCGTGGTACAGAGGCGAGGTGAGTAATCTTGTTGGATGGTAATTGAACTGTCAGTTTTCCTCCCAGTGGCATCTATGGTACCCCGGATACAATGCGAAACCCTGTTACGCTTGCTCCTCTCTACCCGCAGGAGTGGAACTACATGAGGGGTGGTCTGTCAACCATTGACAGGGATTATGGCATCTTCAACAAGATTCATCACGACATTGGAACGCACGTGGTTCATCATCTCTTCCCCCAAATCCCCCACTACAACCTCACAGAAGCGGTGAGTTCACACATGGTCGCATTATCACTTCTAGATGATCTAGCGAGTCGTCACCTTTTGCAGTGGTGCAGGGTACACCTGTTCTCCTTCGAGCAGTGCCACTTGGCTTAGCTGTGACTTTCTATTCGGTCTTTTTACTGTTGTGTGCATTGGGAATTTTGACCCAACTTTCCGAATTCCCCTATCTTGGTGCAGACGGAGGCTGTGAAGCCGGTCATGGGAGAATACTACCGCGAGCCAGAGCCCAGCCCTGGGCCAATTCCCACCCACCTATACAGGCCTCTCTACAAGTCCTTCAGCGAGGATCATTATGTTCCCAGCGTGGGCAATATTGTGTTCTATGAGAGGGATGAGAAGTTGTAGATTGCGTTCTGTGACTATCCCCTCGGCGTTGCTTCTCTAGCGCTTCAAGAATGCTGAGCGCGTCCTCCATTCTTTGCTAGTACCAAGGTTTTCTGTTCGATCTCTCAACAAATACTGCGACTAACTGGTTTCAGACAAATACGAGTACCCCATTTGTGGTAGAAGGTTTCTGAAATGAGTTGCACTATGGTCATAACAGGCCCATCTTGAAGTGGAAGGTGTCAAACATGTATATCTGTTATGTTTGCCTAGACTGTATAGGGTCACCTCTTAGAGGGTACAACATTAAGGTATATTCCCTTGTACTCTCTCACTAATATCATTCATTATTCAATTCTAAGATGGTATTAGCAGTAGGTAGGTCCCGCCCCCCGCCCACGCTTCCGTTCTAGGACCTAGCCGCCCCCGCGCCCGTCCTAGTCGATCCCCCTAGCTGCCCGTCCTAGCTGCGCCCGCGCGCCCGTCCTAGTTGCGCCCGCGCGCCCGTCCTAGCCGGCCCCTACGCCCGTCCTCTCGGCCCCGCGCCCGTCCTAGCCGGCCCCCGTGCCCGTCCTCTCGCCCCCGCGCCCGTCCTAGCTGGCCCCGCGCCCGCCCTAACGGCCCCCGCGCCCGTCCTAGCCGGCCCCGCGCCCGCCCTAGCTGGCCCCCGCGCCCGCCCTACCGGCCCCCGCGCCCGTCCTAGCCGGCCACGCGCCCGTCCTACCGGCCCTCGTGCCCGTCCTCACGGCCCCCGCGCCCGTCCTAGCCGGCCCCACGCCCGCCCTAGCTGGCCCCTGCGCCCGTCCTACCGGCCCCCGCGCCCGTCCTCACGGCCCCCCTGCCCGTCCTAGCCGGTCCTGCGCCCGTCCTAGCTGGCCCCCGCGCCCGCCCTACCGGCCCCCGCGCCCGCCCTACCGGCCCCCGCGCCCGTCCTAGCCGGCCACGCGCCCGTCCTACCGGCCCTCGTGCCCGTCCTCACGGCCCCCGCGCCCGTCCTAGCCGGCCCCGCGCCCGCCCTAGCTGGCCCCTGCGCCCGTCCTACCGGCCCCCGCGCCCGTCCTCACGGCCCCCCTGCCCGTCCTAGCCGGTCCTGCGCCCGTCCTAGCTGGCCCCCGCGCCCGCCCTACCGCCCCCCGCGCCCGTCCTAGCCGGCCACGCGCCCGTCCTACCGGCCCTCAAACCCGTCCTCACGGCCCCCGCGCCCATCCTAGCCGGTCCCGCGCCCGTCCTAGCTGCCCCCCCCCCCCCCCCCCCGCGCCCGCTCTATCGGCCCCCGCGCCCGTCCTAGCTGGCCCCGCGGCCGTCCTAGCTGGCCCCTGCGCCCGTCCTACCGGCCCCCGCGCCCGTCCGAGTCGGCCCTGCGCCAGTACTACCGACCCCACACCTGCTGAGCGCGAGTCTACTGCAGCCGCTGCCCTTGCGCGCTCTATCTGGCTTTCCCGAGACGCTGTCGCCCAGCTTGCCATTAGCAATGCCCTCCCCCCGTCTGAGCGCCCTCGCTTTAGGTCCATCACTACCGCCCACGCTTTCTTAGATGCTGTCATCAAGCGCTATTCCACCCCTCCTGCTTCCTCGGTGGGTCGCCTGATCCTCCCGATGCTCTTTCCCAACCTTGCGTCTTTCCCCACTGTCTCTGACCTGGCCGCTCACCTGCGCACGATAGATGAGACCTGGCGCGCTGCCTGCACTGACGCACAACTTAGAGCTCACCAGCCGCCCATTACCTCTACCCTCTACCTGCTTGCCACCCGCCTCCTTGACCGCCTTGCCGCCGCCCGCGACCGCTTCCTTAGCATCCACCCCGGTGAGCTCACCCTCACCGACTTTGTAGACACCCTGACAGTTATTGAGACCCGCCACCGCTCCATCGCCCAGGCGAGCGGTACTGTGCTGGTCCCTATCTTCCAGGGTTGTGCCACCGCCCAGTGTACCTTCTCTAACGGTTTTGCCGCTGTGGCTGAGACTACTGCTGCTGCGCAGTTCCGTCCGGGGAAGGGTCGCCGCCCCAAGGCTGGGCGCGGCGGAGGAGGCGGGGGTGCAGGTGGGGGTGGTGGTGGAGTCGGGTCGTCTGGAGCTTGAGCGGACGAGGGGACCCTGCCCGGTCCAGCTGCGCAGCCGCCTCCGCAGTCCCCGCAGCAGCCGCAGTAGGAGCAGCAGCCGCCGCAGTCGCAGTAGCCTCAGCCGCCGCAGCAGCCGCAGCAGCCGCCGCAGACAAGGCCGGCGAGTGTTCTCCCGCCCAGGTGGCCTGGCGCTGGATGTGGTCGTGCGCGTGGTGGTGTGCCGGGTGGTGGCTCCGGAGGCGTGCGTTGCCAGTACCAGATCCAGACCGGTCCTCGCCGCGGCATCGTCTGCGGTAAGATCGGTCATACCACTCCTCGCTGCTTTCGTCGCCTGGACGACCTGTTTCGTCAGCGCTTCGGTCCATCGCCAGACCTCCCGGACTGGCACAGTTTGCTTAGCCGTAGTATTCCGATTTTTGATTTGGACATGGATGCCATTGTTTCTGCTCTGCATGTGATGTATGCTGATGACTCTAGTGTGCTTCCCGCTTATTACTCATTGTCGTCTAGTGTAGGTGTGCCTAGCTTAGCCTCCCTTGCTGCGTCAGGTGTAGGAACCCCTGATTTGTTTAGTCTTGGTGCTTCCCCAGTCGCCCCGTCGCCGGACGCCACTGCTTCGCTTTCCTTCACCTTGGACTCTGGTGCTTCTCGGTGCTTCTTCCGTGACTTCACTACACTGACGCCGCTTCCCGTTCCTAGTGACGTTTCTCTTGCTGACCCCTCCAGCGGTTCGGTAGTCGCGCGCAGTTCCACCACCCTTCCCTGTCCGGCGGTTCCTTCGGGCTCTCTTACAGGTCTGCATATCCCCTCGTTCTCCAGGAACCTAGTTGGTGTCGGCTGCCTCCAGGACCTTGGCGTCACCACTACGTTCCCTGGTCACGAGCGGTATGCTGTCTGTACCTAGGCCTCCACAGGTGCCCCCCTGTCCACGTTCCCCCGGGACCCGGTGTCCGGCCTGTTCACCCTGGACACCGTGACCCCCCTGGCTGGAGCGCCCCTTCAGGTGGCTGCGTCTACCCAGGTTGCTGCTGCCTGCTCCTGTCGGTCCCTCACTCACCCGACTCTTCTTTGGCACCACCGCCTAGGTCACCCAGCGCTCCAGCGTCTGCGTCACATGTCCCAGCACGGTCTCGTCCTTGGTCTCCCTGGTTCTCTCCCCGCTTTTCCCTCCTCCCCCGCCCCACCTTGCACACCTTGTGTTGAGGGTCGGCTTCGCCGTGCCCCTCACTCCTCCTCGTTTCCCCCTACCGCCGCGCCGCTGCAGACCCTGCACATGGACGTCTGGGGCCCCGCCCCCGTCCATGGGCCGCGTCGAGAGCGCTACTTCCTCGTGCTTGTCGACGACCTCACTCGCTGCACCACAGTCTTTCCACTGGAGCGGAAGGCCGACGTGCCTGACGCTCTCATCCCATGGCTTGTCTCTGCGCGTGTCCACCGAGGTCTCCCTGTCTTGCGCCTTCACTCAGACCGGGGTGGCGAGTTTGCCTCAGGTGTCCTTGGTCGCTTCTGTCGTACGGAGGGCATTTCCCAGATGTTCACCCTGCCGGACTCCCCACAGCAAAATGGGGTCGCTGAGCGACGCATCGGCTTGGTCATGGAGGTTGCTCGCACCTCCATAATCCATGCCGGTGCACCCCATTTTCTGTGGCCGTTCGCTGTGCGCTACGCTTCTCACCAGCTTAACCTGTGGCCGCACCCCCAGCAGCCGCAGGTTTCGCCGACCCGTCTTTGGACCGGGTCACCTGGTGACGCGTCTGCGTTCCACGTCTGGGGCTGCCTTGCCCACGTTCGTGCCTCCGGCACGGACAAGCTCACTGCCCGCACCCTTCCCTGCATCCTCCTAGGTTTTCCCCTTGACGCGTCCGACTGGCACTTCTACCACCCGCCGTCTCACCGCTTCTTTCACTCTCGCGACGTCACCTTTGACGAGTCCGTCTCCTTCTACCGTCGCTTCCCCCACAGTGGTCCCCTGGTTACCCCCCCCTGTTCATGGTCACTCCTTCCCCGGTGGTCCCTGCCCCCCCCCCCTCCCCCTCCCCATCCTGCCCCCTCTGGTGTGTCCCACGTCACTCCTCTTCCGTCGGTGGTCCCGGTTGAGGAGTCGTCTGAATCTGGTGGTCCTGCGGCGCAGTCCTCGCCGTCTGCCCCTCACCCGGCGTCTCCTCCTCCACAGCCTCTGCAGCCGCCGTCGCCTCTGCTGTCACCGCCGTCGTCCCCGCCGCTGCCGCCGCCGTCGCAGCAGCCGTTCGTTGCCTCTGGGGGTACTGGCGTTGACGTGGGACCTCGCCCTGGTGGCCCTGGGGGTGGTGCCGGTGCCCGAGGGGTTTTCGGGCCCTGGGAGTGTTCCTTCTGGGGGTGCTGGAGTGGAGTCTGCTGGTGGTTCCCGAGGACTAGCTTGCGGTCCCGGTGTCGGCGTTGTGCCGCCGCAGCAGCAGTCCCCGCCGGTCTCTGCCCTTCGCCTGCTCGGCCTTCCGTCCCCTGACCCTGCGTCTGTTCCTCTCCTCCCGTCTCCTCCTCTTCCCATTTACGGCCCTGTGTTCCCTCCGCCGGACTCGTCTCCGGCTCGTCTTCCCCCTCGCTCTCCCCCTGTGTCCCCTCCCCTGTCTCCTGACCCGACTCCTCCGTCTCACATCTGGTCTCGCCGTCCCTCCCGTGCTCGTCCTGTCTCCCCTGTCACGCGCTCTCACCCTATGTTGCTTCGTTCCCACGCGTCTCGTCCTCCCCTTCTCCCGTCCCCTCCTCCGTCCTCCCTTGTAGTTGCTCCTCCTCCTTGTCTGACTACTTTCGTGCCGCCCGTCCTCTCATTCCTCGGGTCCTTGCCTCTCTCGTTACCGACCCGTTTGTTCCGGTCTCGTGCCTTGACGCTCTTGTCGCTGCGGTCGCTGACATCGCCTCTACCCACCGCCTTGACTACGCCACAGCTCTGGTCTCTGACCCTGCCTGTCCTGCGTCCGTCGGGGGTGCTCCTGCCCTTGGCAGTGACGTCCTGGAGGACCGCCAGTTCGAGCTTGCTTTCCTGTCCGAGGCTGCTCCCCATCTCTGTTCCATGCTGCTAGTCCCTGAGGGTGACCCAGACACTTTCGACATCCCGACCCCTCGCACTTACACTGAGGCGACCTCGGGACCCTGGGCCTCCCAGTGGATAGC